GCAGTATGTCCTTTCAGTGTCATGCTGGGCACTGTTTAACACACCTACCCCCCCATCTACAGATTAATTATCTAGGAAAATGTACCTTTGTTTGATTATGCTATGAACAAAAAAGCTCAGACTTTGTGAGGTTGCATATTAACATGTAAATCTTATTGGGCAGAGATGCAAATAATTCCTGTTTTGTAGAAAAGAGAACATCAAGGTTTATCTTTTCTATAGGACAATAATCAGTTTTCTATTGAACCTGCCATCCTATTCTAATGTTGCTGCTTAAGTATCTATAAATGCCCAATTCTTCAAAATGCTCTCTGAACAAGATTTGCCATCTTACTGGTTCACTCATTTATGAATTAATAAATCTTTGACATGTGCTTATCCTATATTTGCATGAGAGCCATGATTTTAACTTTCTTAAAATTCTATTTCTTGCTGTATATGTAATCTAGTGTTCCTTCCTCCAGAACAGCACCTTTATGGTACTACATACACCACTTAATCAGGTGTGCCTCATCCTACCCACCAAATAGAGCACACTAGACATAAGTGACACCATTGGCTATATGCTAAGAATGGAAGGGTTCTTGGAGGCTTTCCCCCAATTGAGCTGGCATTTCCACTATTAGAGTTCTCTTGGGATTTATCATATATTCATCTTATTGACTTCAAACAACTGCTTTTGGTAGCTGAAACAGCCAGCCCACCACCCAATAAGAAAGGGGCTTTGAACTGGGTTCCTGGTGCTGCTAATGGGCTAGACAGATGGCCTGAGCTGGCTTACAAGGCATGACCAACACCTCCTCATTGGGTTTGCAAATGACACACAGTTTTTTGTGAGATGACTGAAAAGCTGAGGGCAGTAGAGTTTGGTCCCACTGGGGATATTTTCTCTCTAGGTGAAACTAACTGATCCTCAAGAAAGCAATCACTTAGACTTCATTAGCACCTCACAGAGACTCACAAAATTAACCACTGCAGTTCACTCAAAGAAGAAACACAAGGAAACAAAGTGTTTAATGGATTTGAGGAAGAAGGCCTTCATTTTAAATACTTAACCAGTCACTGACAACTTTTCACACTTTATTAAGAGAACTACCTGAGCCATTAGCAGGTCATTTGACCCACTCTCTTTAAAATTTCTCTAAGCTCTGAAAACAACTCTAATAACTCCAAGAATAAAAGGTGATCTCCGATTTTAGCCTGACCACTGTCTGCCAGGCAGATTTGCTGGCTGCAGGTGCTTCCCAGCAGTTAGTATCTTGCCAGACAGCTTCAAGCTGCAGCTCTTCACATTCTGAAGAACTTTCTTCTGCCTGAGTTGGTCCTGGCACCCCATTTCTGTACTCTATATTCAGCATCAACTATGTATGCCAGGAACTGTGCTATATACTGTGGGGTATATTGGGTATGGAGGGTCAGTTCTCAAGGGTTTTCCTGTCCAGTGTGAGATATAAGACAGATCTAAATAGTTAATTAATATAGGGTAGAAAGTGACTACTAATTCACAAGTAGTAAGATTCTACTATGTGCCAGTTAATATGCATTGGGTAGTAAGTGGAGAACAAGACAAGCTGGACCTTATTCACAGAATGGGCTCAATAAACATTTGTTCAAAGAGGAAAAATAGCAATTGTTCGGCACCTACTATGGGCCAGGCTGTTTGCCTGGCATTTTCTCATTTAATTTCCTCCTCACAAGTACTCCCTCTGGCAGGTGATGTTATCCCCATTTTTAACAGATAAGGAAAGAGGGGCTTAGGGATATTAGGTGACTTTCCCAAGGCCACTCAAGAGGTGAATAGCAAAGATAGGATTAAAACACAGAACTGACTTGAAAAATTTCCCCATTTTTAACAGATAAGGAAAGAGGGGCTTAGGGATATTAGGTGACTTTCCCAAGGCCGCTCAAGAGGTGAATAGCAAAGATAGGATTAAAACACAGAACTGACTTGAAAAATCCTGCTCTTTCAACCTGAATAATTTACCATTCGCATTTTATGGCAATCCCTTCTTTCTGAGAAGTTGTGACTGATTCATTTACAAATTAAGGAGCCAACACAGGTTGGCAAGCAATAAGGCATCCACTGCTAGTTCAAGATAAGGACTCACCAAGCCATGACTTACACAATCTACAATGTGTGACTGACACTGGGATCTGTCTCCAGCTATCCCTTGATATCCTCTGGCATAAATTGTGTGACCTACCCATCTTCCTTCTGATAGAACAGGAGAACAAAAGGGCAGCGAAGGGGAATAAATCAACTCCCAGAGATAGGGGCAAAAGCTCTCCCCCTTACTTCAGGATTCCTCCAGCAGGGCAGGCCCCACCACACACAAGAGTAGACAGCCACTACACAGCAAAGCTGAACGTCCAACATGGTTTCCACACCAAAAAAAATCTTCCCTTCCCCCACCATGTTGCCTTAACCCAAGGAAATTATTTTAATTCCTTCTCTTTCACTCTTTTGGGAAAAAAGAAGAACTCGAGACTTTCATAGCTTAACTAAGCCTTCAGGAAAAAAACCTAAGTTAGTGGGCCCGGGCATCCCAACCCTGTATGCCCACTTCTTCAGCCCCACCCCCGCCCCCAGTGCACCCTGGGTAGCTCATGATCCACATACGTTGCTCCCGCAGTGCATGCTGTGTAGCTCATGAACACATCTGTTGCTCCCCGGCGCATCCTGTGAGACCCTGTGACCATCTTCCGGGACTCGGCTAGGGTCCCCTCCGGAAGCCCTCCCTGATCAAGCTCCAGCAGCGCGTGTGCGCAGGCGCACGCACGCGCAGTGGAGCCCTGCTGCGCGCTCCCACGCCGCTCCCTGCTGCCCCGGCATAGCGGGGGCTGCGCTGCGTCATGTCGGTGCTTTGCCAGTAAACTGCCTGTCTCCGTGCTCCACGCAGAGGGAGGTGTATTGGTCTTCTACTAATAATATTGAGTTCAGTTCAGGAACCCAGATGACCGTTGGAGAAAGGGAGAACAAGAGGGGAAGTCTGTGAGGTCTCAGCCCACCACTTACCCTTCCTGGGCACATGGTCGCCTCAGGCCTGGTGAAAGCCCCTGGAGTCAAAACTGCCAGTGGGAAAAAAAAGGGTAAGGCCTGAGGAAAAGCAGGCAGGAGGGAATGGCTGTTCTCTGAGAACTGGTCGCCTCAGGCCTGGTGAAAGCCCCTGGAGTCAAAACTGCCAGTGGGAAAAAAAAGGGTGAGGCCTGAGGAAAAGCAGGCAGGAGGGAATGGCTGTTCTCTGAGAATACAGGGAAAATCCGAGCAGTCGCTCCAGGGCTCCAGTGACAAAGGTCAGAGCCATTACTGGGGAATATTTGCAGTGCCCAGTGGGGAAGTGAGGATCACTTGGCTTCTAGCGCTCGCTCCACAGATGGCCCTGAGCCTGTAGGTTATGGGACAGTCTAAGGGGTCTCGAAACAGCTGCCTCTGACCTGCATGCGCTGGGCTCACTAGAGGCAGGAAATTCCATGTTGTAATGGCTGGGTTTCTTCCCTTCATTCCTAATCCATGACTAGGTAGTGAATTGGTCATTAAGGAAACCATTTAGGCAGATATCAGGAACGTCTGACTGGGTTGTCCTCCGCCAGCGTGCATGAGAGGAAAATAAAACAACAAAGAGCCCTAGGCCATGCGGTCTCACCTTCATTTCCATTGCTAGCCTGACTTATGAAAGGAAGAATGTTTAAATGTCCTTTTGTCAGTATTGTTACGAGATTGGATGGAGTTGGGTTTACCATTTGAAGATACACATTAAAAAGTTGATCTGAGCAGTTGCAGCCACGTTATCAAGCTGAACACATGTTGATCTGAGTAGATTAGAAAAGTAGTTCCCATCATCTAGGGAGGCAGTGTTTTTAAACAAGTGCTTTTGAAAGAATGAGCCATTAAGAAGTACTTTGCATATATGTAACCCATGAACCTGAAAACAAAAGTGAAGTCAGTACCAAATCAGCTATTCTGAGCAGCAGACTAGAGAATTTGGCTGGCATATGTTAGAGAGATGGTTATAAAAGGTTGCTATTCAATTTATCTTTTATTTCCTGCACAGCTAATGATAGGAGGAATCAAAAATCATCCTTACATTGCATTTGCACATTTTTTTTAATCAACCAGGAAAAAACTCATACTTTCCTTTATATTTTACTTTCTTTTTCCAGAGATTCAATTTTTTGGAAATTTAAATTTGCTCTTTCCATTCACCAAGAGAGTTATATTACTCCTGCATTCAATCTGTTCAATCTCAGCTTAGTTTCAAGTTGAGACTTTGTTTCATTTCCAGACGTGTATAGAATGGTTGGTGTCCCTGTATTACTTCTCACTTTCAGACACAATTGCTTGGCCAGGCATTTAGCCCTCTGGTTTGTAAATCCAACTCCTACTTTTCACTCTCTACCCTTAGGGTGTGTGAAACCAAACCATACATTTCCTTTTGCAACTAAAGTTCACAATGTAATGTATCTATTGAGCTGAAGCACAGGAATATTTATTTTTTTTAAAAAAAACTTCTTAAAAATAGCTAAGCCCTTCTCTTTCAATTATTTGCTTTGCTTCATAGACTATAAAATATGCATTTGGGTTCATATTCTTTATTTTCAGGGTTTTATTAACACTTCAAAGACAGACAAAAGTAGAGAGATTTCTAACAGAGAAGTTTCTTGCATAATTCCGTATCCTGAAAGGTGTCTCAAATCAAAGAAAAGACCTAACAAGAAAAGGGTCCAGCATCCTTTTCTTTCAGGAGACTAGTATCTAGAGACTAATAAGCATCAATGAGCATCCTGCAGAGTGCCCTAGTGGCACCAATGATATTCATCTCGGTTGAGAAATTTGGACTTGCCTAAGACCATCTGCTGTCAGCCCAAGGTTGCCTTTCATTTGAAAATCATGCTGTTAACTTGGTTTAGAGTGTACATGGGGGAAGCATATGCTTATCCTTGCTGCCCAGGGAGACGTTGGCATGAAGAAATGTGAAGGCTCCTGACTGAAGCCTATGTTTATGGACTCTCCTCTTCTTTCCTCCCTAGTTACTGTGACAGTGGGAGGCAAGCAACACTTGCTCGGACTGTATGACACCGCAGGACAGGTACACTTTTGTTATCTTGATTCATTAAGGGTTAAGGGTGGGGATGTAGGGAGAAGAATGATCTATTTGGCTACACGTATGGGAACTAACAGCGCAGATATTATCCATTCTGATCATTTGGGGACAAGCTATTGTCTACCTAAGTGACAACCAAAAGCACATTATTAATATTTTAACAATATCTGTAACTACAGAAAACTAAATATTTACATTATTCAAGATATCAGTAGGTAAATAATTCATTCATTGATGACTATCAATAACCAAAATAATATATTTGATCAAGGGTTCCAATTTACTTCTACCCAAATCTATTCCAGATCCAGGATTAATGGGTCAATTCCAAAAATTTTAGTTTCACCCGCTTTTTTCACGTTATTTTCTTTGCCCACTCTTTATTTGAATTCCCTAATGTGGTGAAAAGGGTCCAAAAAGAGATTGGTGGGGGAGGGGGCAGGACGTAGAGAGAAGATGGATTAAGTGTTGGAAGAAGAGCCAGGATCTTGGATGTTTTCCAAAAGTGAAGGTCATCCCCCTGAGTAACAAGAGGTTGACTCCAAATTCTCTAAGAGTCTTGAAATATTCTCACTCTGTTATAATTTTTTTTTATTATAAGTTAGAGAACCTGGCCAATCAATAGTGTAAGACAATGGACTAGAATCCTCAACACTTACTAGTCAGGACATGCTCCACTTGGGTGAAAATGCCACCTTATCTGTCCTTCCTAGCACCCCACAGGTTGCCATGGAAAGTTTCTAACAACACATGGTCATGGGCTGGAGAAGGGGAAGTGATTAAGCAATTGATAACTGTGGCCCAATTTCTTGGATAGAGCTTTTGTTACCATATGTCTTGGGTCATTTATTTAGGTCAAAATCAGTGGGTTGTTCAGTCTGTCCAAATTCATACATCTTATATCCTTTGGAGTGAACATTTTACTGTGCTATTTCCCACTGTGAGTTTCCTGGTAATTGTTATTTGTAGTTATGCATTTGTCTGGGCCTTTCTTCACAATTACCTGTAAATATATTGTTTTGCTCAACTTGAAAGCTCTTTATTATGAAAATAAATAAATGCAATTCTCTTTGTAGATTTCTTTGTGCATTTACAAGGACCACTGTATAAATGTTTGTGGGACTTCAAAGGCTAGTGTTGGGCAGGTTAGGGTAGGGAACCTGGAAAATCTAAACACTGAACTCAAGGCTAGGGCATCCAGTTTCTCCTCATTGGCAGATGGCTGTTTTGGTAAGCTACTGTCAGAAACTGGGGACTGGAGGAAACTTCTCACATCAATAGCAAGATATGCAACTAAGAAAAGATGCCCCCCAAGTACCCAAATGGGAAAATCAGTTTGGCTCCTCTGAACTAAGGTACGAGGGTAAGGCTCATACCCTCCACCAGAAAGCATTCCAGCAATAGAAGTACACTGCTTCGGAGGCTGAAGTTGCCTACTCTAATTTACTCACACTAGCATTGGGGGTCCTCATTATTTGTTTTATACCCTCTTCCCCATAATCAAGTTTTATGAATATAATCCAGTTTGAAAAGTTGAATACAGCAAGAATTATTTCATGGCTCTGAAACCTTCCTCTGTTTCCCTTGCCTTCTAAGAAAGCTCTCTGTCCTCCGGGGGCCCATTCCATTCTCCCTTTTCTGTAACAATCCATGACAATTTTTGGCTCTTGTGCATTAATTGTCCCGTGGACAACCTCCCCAGGCCTCTATTTAATTTCAAATCCAATAAAACTGTTTAAAAGCTCTTGTAGAGTTTAATTATTCCTTCCCACTGCTCTGTCCTTTTTTAAAATATTTTTAAATCATACTACTAGAAGAGTTAAAGCTATAAGGCATGTGAAAATATCTTTAAACCCCCAGTTGAAGCAAGCAGAATGGCCCAAACCTCTGACACAGAAGTGATGAACACTAATAAAAATATAACAAATTGGTTATAGACATTTCTTCAACTTTAACTTTAATGCTTTCCATCAGTTACTTTGAAAACTCAGACAAGGTTCATGGGGGAGCATAAAGCATGGGGAAAAGGAATCAGAATATATCTTAAGGTTCATTCTAGGCCTAAAATTCTGTGACTGGGACCTTAGAAAATGTCAAGAAAATCTGAAAGAACTGGAGTAATTAAGCAAAAGGATTTGATGCTAGAAAGAACTGGAGTAATTAAACAAGGGCGACCTTTCAGCAGTAAAAGTTAAATATTGGAATGTGTTACACTAAAGGATGACCTGTAATTCATTTTCTAGAACAGTGGTTCTCAAACTTGAGCAAGCATCAGAATCACTTGTAGGGCTTGTTAAAACCCAGGCAGTTGGCTCCACCCCCCAAGTTTCTGATTCTACAGGTTTGGGGTAAGACCCAAGAATTTGCATTTCTAACAGGTTTCCAGGTGCTGCTGCTGCTGGTCAGTATACCACATTTTGAGAACCACTGTTCTCAAACATTGCCACTCAAAGTATGGATCACTGGCCAGCAGCATTGGCATCACCAGGGAGCATGTTAGAAATGCAGAATCTCAAGTTTTGTTCCCAGCCTACTGAATTTAAAAATTCATCTTAAGAGGCTGGCCCAGTGGCACACTGCTACAGTGCGCCGCTTGGGAGTGCGGTGGCGCTCCCGCCGAGGGTTCGGATCCCACATACAGACCGGTTCCCGCTCACTGGTTGAGCGAGGTGCAGCGCAACGCCGAGGGTTGCGATCCCATTGCTGGTCCCGGTCCAGTGCGGGCGCGACACTGAGGGTTGCGAGGCGTTGCCGGACACGAAAAAAAAAAAAAGGAAAAAAAAAAAATTCATCTTAAGAAGATCTCCAGGTGATTCATATACTACACATTAAATTTTGAGAAGGACTACTTTAGAAGTTTTTGGTGGTCGAAGCATTGTTCCCAAAGTTAGGAGGATGTGAGGGAAAGTAACCATTACCCAAACTGATTCCCATACTGCTATGATTCAGCCAGTAAAGCTTTGTAACAAATTTAATTTGAAAGCATTGTCCCAAAATTTCCATTCCCAGTCCTAGGTGGGATAATCTGCCCCTCCTTGGTTATATTCTAGTAAATGTTGCTGAGATCACATGGCTAAGAAACATCTAAAACTAACAAAATACTCGTTTGGCCAGTTACTCACAAGAAAAGAGAGATAATCTCAAAACCAGTTGAGTAATCCCTGAACCACAAAAAGGAAACAAGTCTCTGAATCTGGTTATAGAATTCCATCTTGCTTGAATAATTAGATTTTTTTACATGAATTAACCAAGCAGCTCTGCCCCTCATCTTTGTCTTGAGCTAACTGTTGTGGGTCAGAGTTGACAAAAACAACCTCAAGAAGCAAATGTGTTCTGCAAGGTAAAGCGATAGGAGCTCATTATCTCTGCCCTCAAGTTAGCCCCAGACAAAATCATTTGACCTGGTGCCCCTCTACTTTCTGCCTCAGACATAGCTGCAGCCCCACCAGCCCTGGCCTGAGACACTCCTGCCCTTTCAAAAGTCAGTCAAGCATTTGCTGAAGACAGTTTATTATGAAGTCACATTTATACACAGCCAGCACATGGGAGCTGCTATTAAGCATTAGCTCCCTCCCAAGCACCCGAAAGGAACTAACATTTGGACTTTGAGTGGAGTCCTTTGAAGATAGTCTTCAGAACTCTGTGCATCTGTTAGGTAGAATTCCAGACATCAGGCTAGGCAAGGAAATGAGGGGTCTTTCTCAGGGGGACTGCACATTACCTCTCAGCTCACACCAAGGAGGCAATAGGGCCAGTCTTTTAAGCCACATCTGTCTAGGTCATGCCAATCCACCCCACATGGCACATGCCCCTCATAGTGTATTGCTGAAAGTCTCTATGAAGGGAAGCTCTAGAGCTCAGACCTTTGGCTCGGCTGCAGAAAGAGTCCCAGAGCTGACTTTCCCATGACCTCCTCACCTGGAAAAGTCAGCTTTTGTTTAGGATGTGTCAGGAGAGGCCAAACAGATGGCAGGGCACTGGGATGGGCATTCTGCAGCCAACCCTGGGCATCCACCAGCTAAGGAACCCCCAACTGGGAGAGGGGTCTTTCCCAGGTTGTGGCTTGGAGCCAGATGTCCTCCTGCCCGACAGCAGCCACCTAGAGTGGAGCCAGCCACAGTACTGCAACATCGTGCCTTTTTCTCTCAGTGGGCCCTCACCTGGAAGAGTGATGTGGGAAGAACCCTGCTCACATTATGGCCCCTCAGGCCAAACTCCAGGATGGACATTGTTTTAGTCCGATTTGTGGTGCTATGACAGAAATACCTGAGACTGGGCAATTTATAAAGGAAAGAGGTTTATTTGGCTTAAGATTCTGGGACAGCTGCATCTGGCATGGGCCTCAGGCTGCTTCTACTCATGGCAGAAAAGCGGCAGGCTGCCAGAGGGTACAAGCAGATCAGATGGTGAGAGAGGAAGCAAGAGAGAGAAGGTGCCAGGGTCTTTTTAAGCAAGGAGCTCTCGTGGGAACTAATAGAGCGAGAACTCACTCATTAATCCCCGCTCCCCCGGGGAGAGCATTAATCCATTCATGAGGGATCCGCCCCCATGACTCAATCAGTTTCCAACACTGCCACATTGTGGATCAAGTTTCCACATGAGTTTTGGAGGGGACAACACATCCAAACTCCATCAGACATCTCTCAAAGCATTTGCGAAGTGGCAGTTGCAGCACTGCTGAGGAGGAAGACACATCTCCTGGTGGCAGGAGCCAGGTGCAGCCTGCTGCTCAGACACGCAAGCCCCCAAAGAGCTGGGGCCATGTGCCTGTGGGCAAGCACAGAATGGTGTCTGTCACTGAGAAACCACAGCCACGGCAGCCTGGATGCCTCCAGTAACCATGAGAGTGTGGGAGCAGGGAAGCCCACCAGCCACACCCTCACTCACTCAGAGCTGCATGCCACACACCTTCAGGGGCTTCAGAAATCAGGGCCAAAGAAGCATGGGACCAGGCAAGGGAGGCAAGTACAGCTGGAGTTCATTAATGGCAACCCAAGGTCCACTTGGAAGGACACGAGCCTTCCTCTTTGCTATTGGCTAACCCAATGGGGCCATCTGGAGCACAGGATCTGGCATCACCCTCTAGGGAAAGTTTGCCTAAAACCTCAGAACAAATGTTTTCCCTCAATGAGTAACTGGAACTTTCCTGCTTACATGCATCTTAATGTGGTTTGTATGCGTATGCAATTTGGAGGATTGGGGAGTGGTTGCCCACATGAAAGGCTATTGGTGAAAGTAACCTTAGGACATGATCTTACTTCTCCCCAAATTACGATAAATGGAACTGCAGGGACATTGAGAGATGCAATCAAAGTTTGCAAACATTTGGGTCTCATTACTACTCAGTTCAAAAAAAGTTGATTTGAGATTCAGCTCTGGTATCCAATGAGGGTAGGGAAACTGCTCCAGGAACTGCAGCTGTTGTTGACATGGGCTGGAGGATGGACTCTTACTTGCTCTCTAAAGTACTTCCTACATTCAAGACGCTGTCGTAAGTGGTCTACCAATATTAACACATTTTATTATCATAACGGTATGAGACCAGCACTATTATCAATCTAATTTTACAAAAAGAGAAACAAGCAGAGAGAATTTACCCAAGATCACACCATAGTCACAGGCAGGGTGGGGATTTGAACCCCAAGAATTTGTCTCCACAGCCCACGTTCTTAAGCACTGTGCTACGCACCCACCCTATATGTGGCACCCACATTTTCTAAACCAAGCCTGATTTATGGGAGAATATGAAAACAAGTTGTAGTGGAAAATGTAGGATGTCACCAAATACAAGAAACTTGCAAGCAGAATTCTACTTCCAATTTAATGTGGGTATGGGGCAGGGGTCAGTACTCAGTGCAACTCTCCTTGCTACTGAAAGTGTGGACCCTGGACCAGCAGCATCAGCATCACCTGGAAACATGTAGGAAATAGAAATTCTCGGGCTTCACTCCAGACCTGCTCCTGAATAAGAATCTGCCCTGTAACAAGGTCCCCAGGTGATTCAAATATATGTAAAATCTGGAAAGTGCTGGTCTAATGGTCTCATTTATCTGCCACCTGTACCATCATGATGCAGCTGTTCCCAAATATATTTAGGACCCAGATATTTGGCCCTTCTGATGCCAAGGTTCTTTGAACTTTACTTTTTTAATAATCACCCGTAGTCACCCCAGAGCACCAGATCCTCCTTCAAAAATACTCTCCTGCCTTCAGGGTGAAGTTGAACAGAAAGCACTCAAAAGCCTACCTTATTCCAAATCCCCTCCTCCTCCCCACCCCAATCTCAGCCTCTTTGTCTACTTTAGCTCTCCAAAGCCCCATTCACATCACTCTTTTAGATTAAAACATTCTCTTCAAGAAGCACACAAGCACCTGCCTTCCATTCTCAATTTCAACATTAGAAGGGGCCTCACATACCTGCCAGACCATTTATCCACGCCTCACAGCCTCTTGACATCATCTCAACATGTGGTCATCCAACCTAGGGAAAAAGCATGCTCCAAGCAAAAATCATTTTAGCTATCAGCTGGCATGAAATCAAATCCCCCAACCTCCCACCATCCAGCCAGCCCCCAGTCCCAAGGGGATACATTCTTTTATTAGTCCTGAACCCCTGCCATGTTTCATAGCTGCAGCCAATGGCAAGCCCCCAACAGCCCAGGTGTCAGCCTTCTTAAAGGTATTTTCCTTCTGCAGTCCTGGTTAAATCATTCCATTTGTCTAGACCTAAGTTTCTTAAATGATAAAATTAGCCACAGGGAGAGGGAAGAATATAACCTGTGGTTCTGAAACTTGAACTGCATCAGAATCACCTGGAGGGCTTGTTGAGGCCTGTTGCAGCCCCTCCCCCAGAGCCCCAGCTTCAGGAGGGCCGTGGCACTTGAGAACATGCATTCTTAACGAGCCTCCAGGTGATGCCAGTGCTGCTGGTTCAGGGACCACACGTTGGAAACCAGTGCACTAATTGATTTCTAAGACCTCTTCTAGGCTTGAAATTTTATTTTTCCAATTCAGTCAGATAAATATTCCACATTATTCCATTATCAGATTAGTTAATAAAGAGCAAGAGAAACTTTACCTGTCTCACTTCCACATCAATCGAATTGTTTCATGTATTTTCATTTCCTCAACTGGATTGCCAGTTCTTAATCACCTTACATAATATAGTATCCTTAACAGTGCTATACATTCCGTAGGCAATGAATCTTTTTAAACGGAATTATGCAGCAGGATTAAAGTTTCCACAGAAGAGAGATCCAAAACACAGAGTGCATTGTAGCCCAATGACTGACGCCATCAGAAATCACTCAGCTGGAGGGCCTTGGCTAGCCTGCCAGGAGGGTAAATGATCAGAAACACAAACTTTTCTCCCCTGCCCACCTGCAGTCCACACAGCAATCCATGGTCTTCCTAAGTTTTCCATTATGTAAGCAGAATTCCTTTCATAGCTGCTGGGTAAAGAATCAAATAAATATGATCCTTTCAGAATACCAGTTAATTTACTCCTACCTTATCTAGTTGTGACATTTCTCCTGATTGTGTTTTGGTTTGGGGCTTTGAGGTCTTTAAATATATAGTATCTTCTGCCATCTGGTGGTAATTTCAAGCAGCTGCAGGCCAGCAAATAATATACCCAATGGTCTATTTTTTTCCTTAGATCCCTTGTAACCATGAGTCTATATTAACAACCCTGGATAACTGAGTTTTCAAGAAAATGCTTAATATGTCACTTAAAATTCTGAGCTATAGTAAATAGTGTGGTCACAATTAAGAACTAGAGCTCAATTCAGGCTAAATACCACATTCTAGTATATAACTCTGTAACACGTGTCCATCATGGAACTTCTCTAAACCTTAACTTCTATGAAATTCAGATGTTGATGGTACCATCTTTCCAGTGCCACTGTGAGGATTCAATGAGAATGCACGTTAAGTGCTTGAAACAAAACCTGGCCTTAGTAATAAGCCCTCAACACATCTTCAGTTAATAATGAAGATGATGGTGGTGTCAATCAGTTATTCTCAACTCTTAGCCCACCCTAGACCGATTAAATCAGAATTCTCAGGCACCCAGCCCCTCTCTCCAGAGATTGTTTAATTGGTCCTAGAGTTCATGTAAGATACGTATTATCTTTTCATTCTATTTTTCCATGAAATTTTTGAAGTACCTTCATACATGAATTGTGTGTGGTATGTATAGACACGTATCACGTTGTGGTATGAAATGTGTGTATAAATATGGTGTGAATATACACATGCACACAGAAAGTTTCTTCTGGATTGTGTTTTTAAATGCTATTAAAATATGTAAAACTTTCTAGTGAAATAGCAGACTTTACCCTAGAACCTCCTAAAACATTTTACATACTGTGAAAGGTACTTAATGACATTTTCCCAAAGTTGAGATGGTGCAACGTTTTACTTTGAATCTATCAACTCCCAGTAAAACAGCAATACATAAATATCTTATATAACCAGAAATTCTTCAACCAGAGCATATTCTGATCTGAAAAATCTTTGGGAAGAAAATAATTAATCTGGCATTTTATTTATTTGGCCACACCATGCCTTTAGGTAAAATTAGAAACAAATCCCAAATTCTTAGTTTTAAACCCTCACGCAAAATATTTCTTCAAATATTGTGGTGTCTAATTTGGCAACAACTCTTTGTTTAGCATTTTAGTAACCTTGTTCTAAATTAAATTTGGATGCAATTTTTTTTAATTGTTTAAGGAAAGGATTTGTGTGCCTTGGCCAATGGCCCACCAATTTAAATACATATTCAATACAATTCCAATATGACAGGAGAATTGTAGTGATCTTTACTGAATTATACACTTTAAATGAGTGAACTTCCAAATACATAGAAACAGAATAGAATGATTGTTACCGGGGCAGGGATGGGTGGAAAATGGGGAGATATTGGTCAAGGATACAGAGTTGCAGTTATGTAGGATAAATAAGTCTAGTGATCTAATGTATAACATTATAACTGTACTTAATAATACTGCATTGTCTACTGGAAACTTGCTTAGAGAGTAGATTTCTGGTGCCCTCCCCATTAAAAAAAAAAAGGTAACTTTGCGAGGAGATGGATATGTTAATTTGCTTGACTATAGTATGTATATGTATCTCTAAACATCGTGTTGTACACCTTAAATACATACAATAAAAATTAAAAATAAATAAGTGGGTGTACTTTATGGTATATAAATTATATCTCAATAAAGCTGTTAAAATATTTTTTAAGTTTATCTTTAAAAGGAGGCAATACATAATCTCTATACACAACAAAAAAGTGTTTACCTGACCAAAGATTCCTTTATTTCCAATAATATAGAGACCCACCAGAGTTCAGGGTAGGGGAAGAGACTGGATCACAGCACACTGTAGTCGGATCTTACTGTATCACCCTCTGGAACCACATAGGACCCACCTTACCCAGTCTGTACAAACTCTTATCTGCTCTTCCCACAGGAGGACTACAACCAGCTGAGGCCCCTCTCCTACCCCAACACTGATGTGTTTTTGATCTGCTTCTCTGTTGTAAATCCTGCATCTTACCACAATGTCCAGGAGGAATGGGTTCCAGAGCTGAAGGACTGCATGCCTCATGTGCCTTACGTCCTCATAGGGACACAGGTTAAAATGCGGGAGATGGCAGGGTGGGGCAGATTGTGAAAAAGGAAAGCCCTTTAGGCACCTCACGAACATCCTACTCCACCAAACACTAGGGAGGAATGCCTCAAACATATCCATCCTATGAACAGAAGTTCTTAAGGTGTTCATGACTATTTAGCCCATAGTTGAAAATATAATAGAACTATTTAATATGAGGTTTTGATATGACCTTCAAAAATTAATATCTCAGCTTTTTTTCAAATAACAAAATTATTTTTTAAATAGACACTCTTCTCCAGCCCTGAATCAGAAGAACGAGGTAAATGTAAGGGTGCCAATTGCACATATTATCTAGTATTTTTTATATCTTAAATCCGCGTTGTTTTAAAATCACAAAATAGGTGTGAGTGCCAAAATGACCTCAGAGATCAGAGTGGGCATATTATGACAGAAACTCCTTGTAACATTACTAGAGAAGGAAGACAGAATTTCACTCTTCTCTATTGCCTTTAAACCCGTTGGTCTTTCAGATCTTAGAAAAGAAGTTAAAACAGATATACCAGATAAATCTGCAATTGTAAAAGCCCTTAAAGTTTTTTTTTTTTTTTTTTTTAAAGATGACTGGTAAGGGGATCTTAACCCTTGACTTGGTGTTGTCAGCACCATGCTCACCCAGTGAGCAAACCGGCCATCCCTATATGGGATCCGAACCCGTGGCCTTGGTGTTATCAGCACCACACTCTCCCGAGTGAGCCACAGGCCAGCCCCCTTAAAGTATTTTGAAAGCTAACAAAGTTTCATAGTTTGAATTTCCAACATTAAGCCAATTGCACAAATGTATTAAAGATTGTTCCGGGCCGAGCCCATGGCGCACTCGGGAGAGTGCAGTGCTGGGAGCACACCAGCGCTCCCGCCGCAGGTTCGGATCCTATATAGGGATGACCGGTGCGCTCACAGCACTCACTGGCTGAGCGTGGTGCTGCCGGTCTCAAAAAGGACAAAAAAAAAAAAAAAGATTGTTACTACTTTTTATAGTTTTAAATGGATTTTGTTCTTTGCCATTTTAAAATCCAAATTACAGGCCGGCCCGGTGGCGCACTGCTACAGTGCGCCGCTTGGGAGCGCGGCGGTGCTCCCGCCGAGGGTTCGGATCCCACATACAGACTGGCCGCACACTGGCTGAGCGAGGTGCGGGCACAACACCGAGGGTTGCGATCCCATTGCCGGTCCCGGTCCGGTACGGGTGCGACACTGAGGGTTGTGATCCGTTGCCGGTCACGAAAAAAGACAAAAAGGAAAAAAAAAATCCAAATTACTATCACCAAAACATGGGAATTTAATAATACTGATGGGCTTTATTGTTATCTGTTTCATATGTTGCTCCTTTTTATTTCTCATTTTACATTCTGCTTGGCAAAGAGAAGTTTTTTAAAAAACATAAAAATATTTCCTGAAGAAGATATGGACAGATACTCAGTATATATGTTTACTAAAATAGTAACAAAGTAGAAGAATTCACATAACCACATATCAGCCTATATATATGGCTGCCATATAGTTAATGCCTCTGCTCTGCAAGATGATTATTCGTTTAAAAGAAGTCTTTTGCCTTAAATTCCAGATGATAATGTTTGTCCATGTTGATGGAGTCTGGATCCCTGCTGCCAAATATATTATGAGACATCGAATACCTTCATGCAATTTGAGCCTTTTATAGCAGATGGGCACTAAATTGAACAATTAAGGCAAACACACACACACACACGCACACACACAAATTAGTAGAGCTGAACAATGTGCTTATAAATGGGACCCTAACATATGAATATATTGGTCTTTAAAACACAAGCCCTGTGTGTTCACATTCACACCCATTCATGTATGCACGGACTCATGTACACAGTGAGATTTTAAAGCAACCAAAATGTTTAATTAAATTATCAAACCTAATCCAGATACATATGCTATTTTCAAAGAATTCTACCTTTGAAAAGATTAATGAATATTCCTTGAACAAACATTTTGGAAATTCCTCATTGTGACTTGCCTTCCAGAGCTTATAGCACATTCGTTAGAATATCCTCACAGGTAACAAATCTTCTTCCCTCTGAGGGTGAAGATTTGATTTGGAAGAGCAAAAAAAAAAAAAAAAAGAAAGAAAGAAAGAAAGAAAAAATGTATTCAGAGCCAGGAAATGAACTATTAAATAATAAGTAATATAATTTGAGTCCAAGTAAGTCATCACTGTAAAGTAATAAGTTGACTGTCTTGTATGCCCTGTAACTGGAATCTAGAAATAAATAGAAAATTTCAAAAACATCTGAGACAGCAAAAGAATCACTGGGGTAAGTCCTCAGCTCCCAGGGTAGCTGCTTTCAAGGGAAAAGTTTAAGGAAAGTCCGGTATATGCATTTCCAAAGAAATCACTTTACTTTTTTAGACATAACATGGACATGCGTATGTGCTTCCTAAAGGAAAATTCAGGAACTTCAAAGATGTTAAGGGGGGAAAGCTCTATTATGTTACAGTTTAAAATATCTGGTAAGTCCTGAAAAAATAAATGAGTTTATCGCATGTGTGTTTTTTGCCAGATTGATCTCCGCGATGACCCCAAAACCTTGGCCCGTTTGCTGTATATGAAAGAGAAACCTCTCACTTATGAGCATGGTGTGAAGCTTGCAAAAGCGGTACAGTCAGATTTGAATTTAATTTTAAATGCATGCTGAGATAAGACGTTGGTGTGTCTTTGGAATGGGTGAGCTACATAGGGTTTTGCTTTAAAGTGCAATGTGTTTAGAATCTTCTCTCTGCTTTATATCCTCCCCTCTGTTCTACTCAGGCTGGAAGGGGCCATTTGGTCAGCGTTCCTGTCAGCCGGCATTGTCTGTTTTTCATTAAGAAAACAACTTGGTGAATTTAAACAGCTGAAGCATTTATCATTTGATTTAGCAACCTCTAGAACATTACTTGCCATATTTAGTATGAATACAGGGAGTCGTTAGATATATTTTGTAAATCTCACAGCTTATTATTGGTGTATCTCATTTAAATGACCCCATAAGAGGTATTTTGTGATTTTCTTGAGAGAGACTTAGATTAGCATTTGGCAGGGTTATATTTGTTCAGTATTTCTCAGCAAATAATGAATTGACTTAGAGAGACTAAATTGTGTCACAAACAGCATCTGGAACACTAACATACCAAAAAGTACCTAGTTGGTGAATCTAAATGGTTGTGCAGAAGAAAACAGCAACTTGCTCAGAGCTGGAACCTTTCTTCATTCTTGAGAGCTTAACACGTATAGTGATTTTGCTGGGGAAATGCTTTATTTGCCAGACACCAAATCTTTAGCCCCTCATTGCCACCAAGATGTGTGCAAAGCAGCCACTAAAATGGACACAAGAAGATGGAAGTACAATATGTGAGAGGAATCTTATAAATCACATTTCCATAACTTGAATCCTCTTTCTCATTGATTTAGTTACAAATCCATCTACCCAGGTCAGAAGTTTTAAAAACTTGTTTTGTTTTCTAAGTAATTAACCCTGCAAAACTCATACCCCTGGCAGAGTTAGGAGTCATCCTCTTTAAGACAGTTAAGAACGATATTAACTACAAATTCTTCATTAACAAAAATGCATTTCTCTTATTAAAACTCACTTATAGGCACCAAAACTAAGTATGATACACTAAGTAGAAATGAATTCAATAAGATTATGTTTTTATGGGTGCAAAATGCTTGGGAACATCTCACAAATACTTGAGATACTGAACTCTTCCTACTTCTGTGCACAGTAATGTCAATATTACTACATGTTGAGTATCCTGTATGTGAAATGCTTGGCTTAGAAGTGCTTCAGATTTTGGATTTTTGGGGATTTTGGAATATTTGCATTATACTTACTGGATATGCACTTCCTAATCCGAAATCCAAAATGCTCCAGTGGGTATTTGTCATGTCAGTGCTCAAAAAGTTTCAGATTTTGGATTTTGAATTTTCAGACTAGGGATGCTCAACCTGTAGTACTAGCCATTCACAGAGTTCTTAGGATGCCCAGCACTTTACAAACTCCTCTATCTCGTTTCAGCCTCATGCTAACCCTCCTAAGAAGATAGTGTTTGTCTCATCTTCCAGATGAGGAAACAGTGTTAAGGAAGACAAGCGTGTTTAATTCACACAGCTAATAATAATAAAGTCAAAAAATTCTAATCCTGCTCTGTGGGCATGGCCACCTGTGTACCTTACCATTGTGTAAAAACCATTTCTTCTCCAACTGTGTGTTTTTCCTCTGATAAAGTGGGTGTATGGCTGTAGGTTCTTCTACCTTCTGAAACATTCAGCCTCAAATGCTCTCATCAAGATACTTAAATACACAGCTCCATGAATAATTTCATACAGTACCTAGCTACTCATTTTTCACAACCAGGATGTCCCCATGGGCTCAGCACCAGCTTTTTGTAGGAGCTAGTTTCCGTGTCCCTTGCTTCTGGGCCCACCTCCCACCTGCATCCTGTCAGCTTCCTAGCCTCACTTCTCACTTGCAAAGTTGTTTTTCCCTCTGAAAAGAAGACATTCCAACGCCTCCCAACTCATTTCATACTTATTTTTGGAACGATGGCTGAGTTCACCACTTTATTGCCTTTTGCCAGTTTCTCCTAGCAACTGCTCTCAGACACCGAGAGAATCATGTTTAGCTTACAAAATCCAATTTAGAAGAAAACCAAGCAAGATTTTAACTTGTTTCATCACAATTCATGTATTATAAAGATGCTTTAAGTTTCTCTACACTCTGACTTTTTGTCAAGTAGTTCATAATAACAGCTAGCATTTATGGCATGTTTAGAATGTGCTAGGCTTGGTGCCAAGTGCTTTACTTGCCTTGTCTTAATTAATCCTCACAACAGCCTCCTGAGGTGTGTATATGATTATCTTCACTTTGCTAGAGGAAACTGAGGCTCAGAGAGGTTAAGGTCACACAGCTAGAAAGTGGCAGAGCTGGGATGTGCAACTGTGCTTCACCCACCACGCTCTTCTGCCTCCCTCTCATAATTGGAAATGAAACCCTCAGGTTTGGGGCTTCTTTTTATATACTGAAGACTCATTATTTTAATATGCATATTTTCCCCATAACCTAAATGCTTTGCAAGTTCAGAGTTTTCATATCTGATTCCTTTTGTTCAATACTTTTCAATTTCCAAAGTATTTTTCATCTATCATCACTTTTTTGGTCTCAAAGGACATTTTATTTTAAAGGACATTTTCATATCATGCATACTTATAATCCTTTACACTCCAAAGTCAACCACATTTATACAAATATCTTGCATCAATCTGTAATAAATATTCAGTTATCCTTTGTTTTATCCTCCCTCTTTTTTATTATTGTATTTTTTAGTCCTCAGCTTACTTTTCCTATTCTTTACACATTTGTAAATGTCTCTATTGATTGCTGCTCGATTTATTCAACAATAATTGATTAAACACCTAATATATGCCGGGTGCTATGCTGGACGCAACACTTTAGCTCTAAGATTCTAATTCTTTGCGCATTCTCTTTCCCAATTCCATCTGATACAATCTAAACATGATTTTCTAAGTTCGGACTTCCTAAGGTATTTTTTGATACAACATTTTACCATTTTGTCATTTTCGGTCTTTGGCCTCCTTTTGCCCTCTCCTGCCATCTTCTTTACACTGTTCCTGTGGTTGTTGCGACCGTCGTACTAACTTCACACCTGTTTCCTGCTGGATTTTTATCATGCACAGGTAGGATTTGAAGCAGCAAAACTGCTGTAAAAATCCTGTAATCAATGTTCAGTCCTGTTAATCAGCTGGAGTCTTTAATACTGTCCTCCTAACTGAAAGAGTCACTGTCACCTGCCTTGTTTGGTGTGCTGGCCATTTATTTCCTCTTTCTCCCATGGTCACTGAAAGTCAGTCATTTCACAGCTGGCATCTGGATTACAGAGACCCATAGGCCAGAAGAAGAGGGAGAGGGGCAAGCAAGGGCAAGCTCACTGAGTGAGCACAGTGACAGATGTGTGCACTTAGCAGAGAGGACGGGAAGGAGAGTCAGAGAACATTTTTTGGATCAGTTGACATCTGAGTCAGGTTTGAGTTTGTCAGGTGGAAAAAGTTAGGAGGCTGGGGACAAAAATTCCAGACATCTTTTAAAGCACAGGGAGCAAGATGGCAACTGATGGAATAAATTTCACCCATAAATGTTCTAATCAGTCTACATAAGTGTTTTCAATGCAATTTAGTGACCAACATTTGACACTTGGGAAACTTTGCATATGTACATTTCTGGCTTCTAAGAAAACTTCATAAGATATGGCAACCCTAGGCCAGCATTTCCTCATCCATTGAAACTTTTAAACAGTCCTTTAGACAGAGCATCTTCCCTTCAGTTTGCCACAATCCCCACGACTCCATGTTATCCTATAATTGAGCAGTGCACTCATGTTATCCACCCTTGAGTTGGCGTCTCTGCTTTATAGTCTTCCAGAAATCAGCAGCAAATCCACTCAGTCTAGAAATGCTTTTGCTCTTTCAGCAATTTGACCATAAGGCTGATTTGTAGAGATGGAATTTCTCTCGCAAACCATTTGCTTCTTCTTCCTTTTCTTGGCTCTCTATTTGCCTTCTCTGTGTGCTTTTCCTAATTCTCAAAGAAGAAATAAGGAACTTCTCTGCTCCTAGCCATTTCTTTAGACACCAACTTACTCTATTTACTCTACAGACATCTTCTCTTCTCTTCATCGATAGGAAATGCCTACTTTTCCTTCCCTTCTCTCGTCATCCTCAATACTCCATAACGACTTCTCCCGTTTGTTCATTAAATCCACAATTTCTTTGCATTTGCTGGAGACAGCCCAGCAGAGTAGCTAAAACTCTGGCTCAAGAGACAAACAAATGTGAATCTCTACCATTCTCTTAGTTGTGTTGCCATAGGGAGGTTACTTAACCTCTCCGGTCATCAGTTTCCTGATCTGTTAAATGAGGATGGTGTTAGACTTACTTCGTAAAGTTCTCGTGATGATGAAATGAGCTAATGTACCACAAGGTCTAGCTCAGCAAACTACAGTTGTGTTAAACCGATGTGCCCTCTCAGACATGTCTAGAGCTAAGAAAATCTCTTTACCTTTATTCTTCCAGTTATTTTCTGTCTTATTCTATAACCTGCCCCACCACCACTAGGACAACCTGCAAGAAGTACTAGGCTTTCTCCCACTTGATTAGTCATTATGTGCTTGTGTTTTAATTTCTCCTTGTCAGACTCTTGTGTCTTCTGTACATCTCTGATAAATTTTCCAGCTTTTGAGACAATATGTTTTAGCTATTATAAAATTATCATAAAAGTGTCCCCTCTGTCAACATTTTCAATCTCTACTTTTTCTTGAAAATAAGTCATTTGGTAAAACATTTTCCAGATTGCTAACATGTGTATCTAAACAAGGATCCTTGAATCCTAAGCTCTTACAGATGGATTCTAAATATTTGGCTGTGTAGGTCATTTTGTTCCAAGAATCAGATGAAGTTGCTGCTGTAAGAAAAGCCATATTTCCTTGAGACCGTTTTCCATTTCACATCTTTGAGGGCACAAATGATTTTTTCTTTAAGTAATTCCTCTAACATGGCTGTGCCTTTTCCCTGAACCAGGATGAATTCTTTTCTCTGACCCTCAGAGCATTTGACGCGTGGTTACTATGCCTACCTCATAACTGTGTTCTGTTTCTCACACAGATTTCCCCAATCACACCTAAAATCTGTTGGCTACTTTTCCTGGAACTATCAGTACAACATAATGTTATAGTTACACAATAATGCCTTTATCTACTGTTTCATTATCTTCAGAAATGTCTGAATTGGGAGACAAGTTTGGGTTCCTCCTGCACCATCCAAAGGCACACTCCGACACCAAGGCCGTCAACAGCACTTGGGGGGAGGAGGAGGAGGAGGATTGCCCTTCCAATCTTGCAGGACTCCAGTTGTGAGCAGGAATTTCCGGAATCAATCTGAGGCTTGTGATCATTAGTGGGGAGGTCTTCCAGCTAGTACAGCCTCACAGCATTTTCTACGTATTTTCTTCAGCACGTCTGACATGAGCCATCCCATTACAAACAATCATTCAGTAGGCACGTTCACTGCATTCGTGTGCTTTTCACATTTGTTCATATCAAGCATTGATCTTCCAGCTAGTACAGCCTCACAGCATTTTCTACGTATTTTCTTCAGCACGTCTGACATGAGTCATCCCATTACAAACAATCATTCAGTAGGCACGTTCACTGCATTCGTGTGCTTTTCACATTTGTTCATATCAAGCATTGACACAATCCCAAAATGCAGCAGATGACTTTTCATGAGATTACTAGGAAAATTTTCTCTGTCCTTTATTCTCTTCTATCTAAATGTTTTTAATTATATATGTATAAAAAGTTATTTCCTGGGCCGGCCCAGTGGCGCACTCGGTAGAGTGCGGTGCTTGGGGGCGCTTGGGAGTGCGGTAGCGCTCCCGCCAAGGGTTCGGATCCCATGTAGAGACCGGTCCGCTCACTGGTTGAGCGCGGTGCGGGCGTGACACCGAGGGTTGCGATCCCGTTACCGGTCATGAAAAAAGACAAAAAGGAAAAAAAAAAGTTATTTCCTAATGTAAAAGTCAAACCATGGTCAAAATGAAAGCCATAAAATAGGTTTTCAACATCCAACATCTTTTCTTCCAATATTTTCCTTTGGCTCATATAGTAACGACTTTGTCAGAAAAATAAAATAAAGTGCATAATACTGTTGGAGAAGTTAGGAAACGGTTTCTGGGCCCAACCAAAACAACTATTTCGTGCTTAGTTTTCAAATCTGTGGCTTTTCAAATAAGTGGGGAATTTGATTTCATTCATTGTCAACTTGACCAGTTTCCTGCAGAGCTGAGTGAGAAGGATCACGGTTACTGTCGTGGAACAAGGAAAAGAACACACGTCAGGAGTCCCAGATTCTAGGTCTAGTTCTTTCACTTTCTAGTTGAATATCCATAAAAAATGCATTTTACCTTTCTGGAGCTATTCCCACTCTGTTCTAAGCTAAATTACAAGTTCCTTTAGTCCACACATTGCAAACTGGCTGTTTGCTGCTAAATAAATCCCACACCAGTGTCTTGCTTGGCCCACAGAGTGCTTTAAAAACTGGTAAATATTAAATAAAAATCCAAATTTCCAATTCCTCTTGAGAAATATGAACATGGGCAACAGTGACCCAACATTCCCACATGGAAACTGAGTAAGACTGCCCACTCTAGAGTACTTCATAGTCCAACACAGTCCCCAACACTCCCTATTGTCTCACACCAGCCCTGTTACTCACTTACATAGCTACTGGCCATAACAGGCATAGGATTTTGCTACTCTGGTTTGGCCATTCATCTACTGTGGTTTCCAGGAGCTCCCTATCAGGCCAATCTCTTTTGAATCTGCTTTAATTTTCAAAGTTATTCTTACAATATGAAGCAAAAAAAATAGAAGTATTTCTCCAAATGTCCTTAATATTAAAAGGCCCACATCATATTTTTAGCTCATACTGAGTTTATGAACAATTAAAACCCCAGGTATCCTTCACATGAAGCTGACTGCCAAACATGATCTGTGCTGGCCTGTGATTTTTTTATGAGAATCTACAGTTCTGGCCTGAATTTCTGTATTTCTCATAGGGATTTTGTGATTATCAAACACACCATAGTATGAAATCATCAAAAGCTTTGAAATAAAGCCCTAAGCAAGCACAAAACCTTTTATCATTTAAATATACAGACTGTACACTGATAAGGAGGATGCCTCTGTCAGTAAAAGAATTTTATGTTTTTATTTTTATGTTTTTAAAAAAAAAAAACTTCTGAAAATGTGCCTTTTAAAATATGTTAAATCTGAGTAATAATACCAATCAGATATTACCTTGCTGAGAGAGACC